GCGATGTCGAAAGTATTTGAAATGGTCATAAAGAGAAGGATAATGGAATATTTAGAAGAAGAAGATCTCATAACCAAATATCAGCATGGGTACATGCAAGGCAGATCAACCATAACAGCGTTACTAAATGTTATCTAAAAAATAGCAGATGGTTTTGACCAACAGAAATACACGCAAATAGTCTTTTGTGATCCCAGCAACGCTTTTGATATGGTACACGACAGAATTTTAAGAGAAAAATTACATAAATATGGCTTTAAAGCTACTGCATATAATTTATTAGCCTCCTACCTGGATCAGAGAGAACAACAAGTGTATTGGAAAAGTATACACTCGGAATGGAAATCTGTGGGGACAGGAGTACTTCAGGGTTCTGTGCTTGGGCCTATACTTTTTCTGATATATATAAATGATCTGCCGGAAAATGTGAAGGCGCTTTCCATTTGTCTCTATGTAGATGACACGACCGTTATCAACCAAGGAAATGATTTTCAGCAACTTAAAAATAAAATGCAAACATCATTAGCCGATGCAAAAAAATGGTTTGACATGAACAAAATGAAATTAAATGCAGATAAAACCAAAATACTAACTTTTTCTACAAAAAGAGACAAAGACACTGAAATTCAAAAGATAAATTTTCTAGGCATTATGCTGTCCGAAACTTTAACGTGGTCGGACCATGTAACAAACTTAAAAAGAAAATTATCAAATTCAATATACTGCATAAAGGTTATATCTAAAAATTTACCTACAAATGAAACAAAAAGCGTCTACTTCGCTTACTTTCACAGCATGGCAACGTATGGCATATCTATCTGGGGGGGGTCAAATGATATGTACGACATATTTAAAATGCAAAAGAAAGTGACACGGATCTTGTCTGGGCTTGACTATATTGGAAGCTGCCGAACATTTTTTAAAACCTTAAAAATACTAACTATCCCAGGTTGTTTCATACTTACCTGCCTGGTTAATGTTCATACGAAGAAAGACACATTGCCAAAGAACGAAGATCTACATATCTACAGCACGCGTCATGGAAGTAGTCTGTTAATACCATATCACAAAATCAAAAAATCCCAGAATACTTTCAACTATATATCGGTCAAATTGTACAAATTGCCATCAAAAATAAAAGAGTTGAATAACAAAAGGTTCAAACAGAAAGTTAAACGAATATTATTGGAAAAAGAGTATTATTCAATTGAGGAATACCTTGCGGACAAGAACTTTCCAAATATATATAAAAAAAAAAATTTAATAATTGTTTGCAATATTGTAATATTTTGAGTCTTACGAACTGTATATTACACAGAGAGAAATATATTCTTGAACAAAGATTATTACTCTTGGCTCAAGCTTATCATATTCTTATATATCCACAAGAAGATCATTGATTCTCAAGAAAACGAATTCTTAGTAAAAGTAAATCAATAATCTTGAAAAAGAGTATCTTAGTGTTACTTCAACAACCCCATTTTCGTATCGAGAATAGATTTCTTAAGTCAAGAATAATGTATCTTTCTTTTTAGAAAAATTTATTCATGTAACAACAATCTTGTATAATTCTTCATTTGAGTATTATAAATTATTGACGCAAGAATGGATTTTTTGATACAAAAAATTGATATTCTTCGATGCTAAGAATATGACGTACTTCATTCGATAATATTTCTATTCTTAAAACAAAAATATTTTTTTGTTTTAAGAGTATCTTAAACTTGTTTCTAAGAAATACATTCAAGAATCAATTTTTCTTGAGAGTCAAGAAAAATTTCCCTCAGTGTATTGACGAGAATAATGTATAATCATACTTATTCAATAAAATTATTATTATTATTAATAAAAATATTTATAATGTGTTATGTACTATAAAAAACATTATAAATAGTAAAAAATAATACAAACATTGTAATAACAAAATAAACTTATAATTCCTAACAATAAAAATATGTAATAATATTTTTACGTTTTTAAAAAATCATCCAAAGTTTGCTGTCTTGCATTCATTTTACGTGTAGTGTATAGGTCCTTGTAGCACTGAACATCTTTGGCGACAGCATTCATTACAGTTCTGCTTCGATTTTCGTCCTTATCGTGGTTAATAAAAATCTCGACAGCTTTGTCGATTAATGAACACGCTTCTGCTAATTTTTGATTTGTAATTTCTGTAATGTCTTCTGTGTCTGAATTCTCAGTGGCTTCTTCAGTTGCAGCAGTAAAATTTTGTAGTAACTCATCGCATGTAATTTCTTCTTCATCTTGATTTAAAATTATGTCTTCAATGTCGTTTACCTCCATCCCTTCAAAATGTACCTCTTCTGCGTATTGAACCAAATCATTGACAATCCCTTCGAGGTTATCAGTGTCTGCTCCTTCGGCATCTTCAGTAGATTCTGGCCACAGTTTTCTCCAAACCCCTTTTAAACAACTTTGTTTGACTTCTATCCAAGATTCTCCAACATTTTCGACTGCTTTTAAAATATTAATCTGCTTCAATACTACTTTGATTGAGATTTCATCATTGAGATGGTGAAAAAGTTGTTTGAACGTCCTACGTAGATAATAAGCTTTAAAATTAGAAATGGCACCTTGATCCATGGGCTGTATAAGAGCCGTTGTGTTAGGCGGGAGAAAAATAAATTTTATGTTTTCACAGATTACGTCTAGATCAGGAGGATGGCGGGAGCGTTGTTTAGTAGAATTAAAATTTTCTTTCAAGCAATAGTTTTTAAGTTCGGGCACAGCAATATCGCTTACCCACTCTCGGAACAGAATTGCTGTCATCGATCCTTTTTTGTTCCATCTCCAATGAACTGGTAATGAATTTCTTTGATGATTCTTCATTGCCGTTGGATTTTGAATAGTATTAATTAACAAAGGCTTGAGTCGGTGGTCACCTGCTGCATTAGCCCCGAGAAGAAGAGTTATTCGGTCTTTATTTGCCTTAAAGCCGGGTGCATGTTTTTCTTGTTGTGAAATGTAAGTTCTCTTTAGTAGTCTTTTCCAGTAGAGACCAGTTTCGTCTACATTGAAAACTTGTTTAGTAGAATACCCGCCTTGTGTAATAATGTTCTTGAGAACACTTTTAAAATCTTCGGCCGCTACATTGTGCAGTTTAGCTCTTGATTTAAATTTTTGAAACCAACCTCGACTTGCGTGAAAAGTTTCGTCTTTATGAACATGTTCGGATTTTGACTTTAATTCTTCATATATGGATAAAGCTTTTTCTTGTATGTTGGTCCTACTTAGTGGTACTTTACGTTGATTTTGTTCCTCTATCCACGTAGAGTGGAGAGATTCCATTATCATAATTAAAGAACTTTTGCCTTTTACAATTTGTTGGGCCATAAATGAGTTTGTTTTTTTTGCAGCTTCTCTGATTTTTTCTGCGTCACGATTACATATGGATCTAATGGTAGTGACGGGTATATTAAGAATTCTTGCAATATCTACGGCTTTTTCCCCGGCATCAAACCGACTAGAGATATTGTACTCTTAGTTTTCTTTACGCTTTTTCTATATAATGTTCTTGATATACAGGTAGACCAGAAGTGGCGGCCATCTTGAAAATATTTTAGATCGAAAGTTCCGAATGAACAACCCATGCTACCAAAATTTCAAATCTCTACGAATAGTGGAACCTGAAAAAGTTCTAACGAACCAGTTACGTGAGACACCTGTATATTGTAAACCGGCGCAGAGTAGCACAGTTTCTAACATTTTCCGGTAACTCATTGAACCATAGAGCACATTGATATGTTATTTTCTTTCTACCAACATTTCTTGCAGTCGGAAGAACATGTATTAGCTGATTTGTTTTAGTATTGTATTTATGTATATCATTATTACATAGAAAAGAAATTGTTGTGTCACTGAGCAAATTGTTTTTTATTTTATACAGGGTAAGTTTTTTTCCATGTTTAGTACGGAGATCTTGAAAACTCGCTAAAACTAGATTAAATAGAGAAATTGCAGTTTCATGAACTCAATTTAATGAGCTTTTTGTTTTTTGGATGAAGTGCATGGCTAACCAGATATCTCAAAAAAACCGGTTTTTTGTTATATCATTAAAAATGTGTTAAGGAAAAATTTGTAGGGTATTACATGTTTAATAAAGCAGTCTAACTGATTTTGTTTATTTAAGCAATAATTTTTGAGTTATGACACAAACTTGTAATTTTTCTAATGGAAACCATAGTTGGCCATGACTTTATAAAGAAGACCTTTTCTCAACGATTCTAATGATATACCACTTGACATGGATATTTTTATTAATAAATAAATTATTGCCATTTATTCTTTTAACTTGCAAACTGTTCAGGTAGTATGCTATGGAAACAATTGATAGATACGTTTCCAAACGTAAGTTTCCATGATTTCGTACCGCTGGCTTATTAAGTGGTGGTGCCCCATCGTGTTGAAACCATTTAAGCAAATGACGAGTCTGCAGGAGCAATTCATACATCATATTATCGAACTCCGTTTAACGTATCATAAAAAATGTACGGAAAAGAAATCTTGAACAAACATTAAATCCAAACTTAACTTGAGGTCTCCTCTTTTGAATATGGTGCGGATTTTCCTGCATCCATAAATGTTGATTATGTCTATTAAACATGCCGCAGTTTGTAAATCGTGTTTCAACTGTCCACAAAACTTTACTCTAAGCTATGATCAGCTCCACACATTTTAATAAACCACGTACAATATTCTACACGCTTATTGTAGTGATCTGGGGGTAGTGTTTGTGAAATTGCCATTTTATATGAATGAAATCTATGCTTTTTTAGTTCTTTTACGACAGTACGTTGTGACGTGCCTGCTTCAGATGCAAGTTGTGTTGAAACTGATGCATCTTTAGTTGGTTTACAGAAAGAACCATACTCGCCTAAATTATCAGCCTGTTCAGGTTCATCTTTATAATATTAATTATATGTATTGAAAAAACAATATTTGTGATAGCAATTAACTGTCACGTGTTTCGATGTTGTACTTGTTCAGATTTGCATTGATGTTGTTTTGTTCTCCATTTTAACGTGTCATATTTTTATTGCAGTTTTAACTATTTATAATGAGTTTTATGTAATTTTAACTTTTTACTTTTCAATTTGTAGTGTGTTTGGTGTATCTTTGTTATCTATTTATCTACTAAAAGAATGCGTAATTGTTTGTTTTAAAAAAACGAAATTATTGGTTCGTCGTGATATGTCTTTTCCACCTACATTATCAAAACTTATTACTCACAATTAGACGTGGTGCCTGATGACCGAAACAAATTTGTAGCACCGATAATTAAAAAATAAAGTATCATCTTTTAAAAGAAATAGGTAGAGAAGGCTGGCGACGATCAAAATATTGTTCAAAATTCTGTTCTGCAGCTTGTATTGCATTTTTATAGCATAAAATGTAACACTCAATGATATCACGCTTTTATTGATTACAAAAATTCATATTGATTATAATTTACAAAACCTCAATCAACGTTAATTAGAAACTAAACGAAACATACGTTTGCCTTAAGCTGTCATAACCAAACGTATCTATCAATTGTTTCCATAGTATACTATCTAAACAGTTTGCCAATTAAAAGAATAAATGGCTATAATTTATTTATTAATAAAAATATCTATGTCAAGTGGTATATCATTAGAATCGCTGAGAAAAGGCCTTTTTCATAAAGTCATGGCCAACTATGGTATCCATTGGAAAAATTACAAGTTTGTGTCATAACTCAAAAATTATTGCTTAAATAAAAAAAATCAGTTAGGCTGCTTTATTAAACATGTAATACCCTACAAATTTTTCCTTTACACATTTTTCCTAAAATCAATAATACTGGAGCCATAGGTATCTAACGATAAAACAAAACAACGGTTTTTTCGAGATATCTAGTTAGTCATGCATTTTATCCAAAAAACAAAAAGCTCAATAAATTGAGTTCATGAAACTGCAATTTATTCTCTATTTAATCGTCTCTCTATCTCCGCTATTTTTCAAAGATCTCTGTACTAAACATGGAAAAAAACTCACCCTGTATATCAACTTGAGGCGATCGATCTTAATAATGTTCGTTATATTGTAAATTTTCAGTTCACAGTACAGGCTAGCCGTACTATATAACGATGGCTTATTAAACAGAATCCTTAGAGCTTTATTTTGTGAAACTTGAAGCGCGGCGATGTCACCAACACGAGCTTAGCACCAGGAGGCTGCTAGATAGATTAGGTGGGAATGAATGTGAGCATAATATATTTTATCCACAATCACCTTATAATTGAAAAGTTTGGATAAGTTTGATAGACTATCAAAAAAAACTTCAAAAGTAAATGTTTGTAGAAATAACGACAGATGGTTTGTCAATTTCACTGAAATAGACCCCCCAAACGTCAAATTACTTTTGTCATTGGGTCCTAAGTTCTGTCTCCCAGTTGAGCCCTCCGAGGTCTCTATTCCCGACCTGGTGAGAGGTGGTGTCACTAACTTTTCTCCAACTGATCGTTTCCTGATCAAGGCTGAGAGAGACACTAGAAGATTCCTCAAATCTAACCGTTCGGACCCTCTTGTCATTATTCCTGCTGACAAGGGCCAGAGCACTGTGGCTCTCCTGCACTCCGACTATCAAAGAAAGGCCTTTGATCTTCTTTCCGATGTGTCAACTTATAAAAAGTTGAACAAAGATCCCACTTCATCGACCCAAACCAAGGCGAATAAATTGATCCTTCGCCTCCGCGAGAAGGAATACATAGATTTGGTTGCCTATAAGAACCTGGTATATTATAATGGAATCAGTCCCAAGTTTTATGGTCTTCCTAAAATACATAAAGATGTTTCTACACATCTCTACAGTGTTGATAGAGAATCCTTCTTCTATAATTGTAAATTTTTGTGAAATACCTGTCTTGGTATTTGGTATCGAATCAATCAAATATGCGCCCCTATCTTCTACATCACTAATTTTCAAATTAGTCAGTTCACAGCATCGACAAGTACCAGACACCTCCATTATTAGTGCAACCTAATATATATCAAAATTTATTATATATAATATGCAAAACGTTAAGAGAGATTACCTTGATCATCAAATATTCTTTATCGCAAGCCCTTGTCAAAAACTCGACGTGTGTACTTTCCAAATTACTAATATGCATGTACATAGCAAATAAGATGGCCTCTTGCTATAAATAAATTTGCAGTGAATTTTTTACTTACCTGTGTGGTGCACCAATCTAACTGTTGCAGGCGACTACTCATACAGTTGTGAAAAGGTACTGTGGCGTTCGAAATGGTAGGGCATTAAAGTAAAAAAGCTCGAGGATTTTAAAACTCGTGGGGTATGTGATCCCCCACCACACAGACGCCGGGTTAAAATAGGTAACTATGTAAATAGTAACTATGTAACATTTATGAAAAACAACATCGGCTTTTAAAAACAAAAACATCTTCAAACAAAAGGTTATGATTCAAAATATCAAATGCCTTGCTGAAATCAAGAAGCACAAGTACAGTAGATCTTCCCCCATCCAGAGCTCTAAAAACGTCATCTGTCAGATCAAGAAGTGCCGTGGCACAGCTATACTGTCGCCTAAAGCCAGATTGTTTCTGAGGTAAAATATGATTAGAATTTAAA